AGTAAATATACTGCATTTATAAAAAAAAAAAAAAAAAAAAGAAGTCTACACACAATGCTGGGATGAATGTGTCAAATACACAGGAAACCCTATAAAAGTAAAAATCAAAAAGAGATCGAGGGAACCAAGAAATGTTCTGTGTGAAGGGTAATCACAAGCAATAGGAATGATTTTGAAATTTGGATTAAAAAATGTATTCTAGAAGTGGTTTAGTAACTTTTTTACAAATGTGAAAATAATGTGTTAAAGTTAGAGAGCTAAGAAAGACAGGCCATAAATATGGTCATAAATTGTTTGGGAAACCAAAATTTTCTATAAGTTTGCAGTATGCATAGCAATTAGAATAATAAAACAATTCATGTTCTTTACTCAGATATCTTGATGCTACAAACAGTTTCAGGGAAAAATATTAGAAAAGATAAATTTAGAAAATGTAGGAAGTCTTTGAATATGGGTGATTGCTATATATTTCTAAGGTAATTGATATTTTATGTTTAGACCTTGAGAAAGTAATCAGGGAGGCTGAAAAAAGGACAAAAGATTTAGAAGCAGAAAAACTCCAAGTCACTGAAAAACCTCAGACTGATCCTGAATGTTTAAGGTAAGAGTGTCATGTTAATAAGTTCTTAAATTTAATTTCAGGTCTGTACCTGCAGACCAGTCCTGGTAGCAACGACTATTTTACCTTTCTTGTACAATATTCCTTTGAAATCAGAAGAATCATTCATTTTTATTACTTGAATTCTTGTTGTTTATAACAGCCTTTCACCCTTATATGCATACTCCAATGAACCAAAAACTGAATGTTTGCAAGGAAGTCAGTCAAATTTGGAGGAAGATCAAAAGACTGCTCCTTAAGTGGAAGGCCAGTTCTTAAGTTTTCATAAAAATTTCAGCAGTACACAGAGTACTGCTGAACTGCCCAATGCCATATGTGCTTCTGCTGAGTGGCTGTACAGCCTTCCCCAGAGCCCCACTGAGATGGAGTGGATTGGCCTCAATAACCTCCTTGGGCCAGGTGGGCCTTGTATTGAACCTACTAAATGTGGATTTATTTTCTCTATGATCTGTACCATCAGGTCTAGTTTCTCTTCTAATTAAGCTAGTTTAAAACAAAATTTTGAAGATTTAACCAAGCCAGAAGGCCTTGCACATTCTTTCTTAATAGTGAATACTGCTTCACAGGAACTGAGTGGTAATGACTCATTTCTTGTCAGTTTGTTTAAATGTGACATTTACATTTTCACTATGCAGAAAATAATGTAATACTTTCAACAAAAATCTTCCAATGAAGAAAGCCCCATATCACAGAATTAAGCATCTTTTTCCTATTTTATGGTGTTCTAGATGAAAGTGCCTATGGATATTTAAAAATATTTAATATTTAACAATGCAAATTAACTCCTAGAAAAGCTGGTCCAAAATATTTTCTAACAGAAGTTGTCAGGGAAAACACAACTTTTGTTACATCACATTTTTCTTCCTATACATTCCTGAGGTTTTGACAAAAATAAATACAGTATATTTTTGTTAAACTTTCCATAGAAAAATAAAATTTTGTAGAGAATCCTGAGCATTTTTCTGAAAGAGAATTTTGTGATGGCCCATTTTTTGCTGAATATCAGGTTTTGAAAGAAAATTATGTATCAGCCCTGTTACTAACGCTCTTCAACCTTTTACATGGTGTTGAGACATGGCCAAAATTCCCTCAGCATAAAAATTAATTAGCTCACAAATCTGCATACAGTAGCAAAAACTTTGCATTCAACATATACATAGAAGACAGTGTAAATAATAATAACAGCAGCAATCCTGTAAAACAGCATGTTATAATTCACTTCTTTACATTATTCATTTCATTGTGATATATTAGGTTTTGTGAATCATGAGGTTGTCAGCTTCTTTCTAAATAACATACTTCCCTTGGAGTAGTTTACTGCCATGATTCCACTTAATACCCAAACTGGTGTAATTAGTTTTCTGTAACAGGTTTCCTGTGTATGAGGTACAGAAGTAGCAAACATTATATTACTAATCCTCAGTTCTACCACTGATTGCTATGAGATCCTAGGCAAATAATTCAAACCCATGTATGTCTGTCTTTCTGCATAGTGAAATTAACTCAGCTCTGTGGAAAGATACTTTGGTTTTATCTGAGTGGAAAACACAAAAGTGGATAAAACATTAAATTCTCATAGCTACAAAGCTAGCAAGTGTCATATATAACCAAAGCTAGAAGGATGATGAGATTTTTTTTATTTCATAACATGTCTCATTTTATGGTCAAGATAAGCTTACATTATTTAATAATTGCACATAGTACAAAATACAAAGTGCTTCTACTGCTATTACTACTATCACAAAAAAGCAAGCACTCCTTGATGTGTAATAATACATTGAAGAAATTTTACAGTGAAATATTTTTTTCTTTTCATATGCTGGACAAAATCTAGGACAGATTTACCTAAATCATACTTTTATTTTGCACTTGCTTTTGATCCAAAAAGCTCAGTGCTTTAGAGAGAGAGATAGACCCAAATAAGTTAACTCAGATGCCAGAAGCAACATAGCTGTGTTACTGTACTTCCATGTCAGCACTAATAGATTCTGCTTTTCAGTAGAGCCAAGCAGGTGGTCCTCATTGGTCTACTTCTGCGTGTCATAGTGCTGTGCTGTTTAGAATTATCCTAAATCTTAGCAGATTCATAAGACTAGCAATTCTTTTATTTCTTTTTTTTTTTATTTATTTATTTTTTTTCTTTTTTTTCCCAAAAACTTACTCATCACTTCTTAGTTTGGACTACTGAATTAAGAGAATGAAAGGGATTTTTAAGTATTATGTGCTATAACCAGTGAAGTATATAAATAGTCCTCCTGGATGTATCTGCTTACCCTTCAGTACCTACAAGGAGGTCATAAGGAAGATGGAGCCAGGATCTGCACAATGCTGCATAGCAAAAGAACAAAAGGCAAAAAGCAGAAGTTGAAATAAGAGTGGTTTAGAATGAATTTAAGGAAAAACCTTGTTATCATGAGGACAGTATAGCAAAGGAAAAGGTTGCCCAGAGAGGTTGCATAGTTTTCATCCTTGAAGGTTTTCAGACTTGACTGGATAAAGCCCTGAGTAACTTGGTCTGACCTTGTAGCTGACCCTACTTTGAGAAGGACATGGGGCTAGATGACCTCCTGACTTTTATTCCAGTCTGAATTATCCAATGAACCAATTATCACTGTGGATTCCACAGCCCATAGATCAACACATAAGCACTGGCTTGTGTCTACACTGCTCAGAGGCAGCATTATCTGCAACAAACCAGTCACCTCCACACTGCCTAGCAGTTGAAGAGATCATATCTGCTCTGGTCCCTTTGTAGTGTCTCTGTGACATTAAGATATAGTGTCCTGTATACACATATATTTTCCTTTCAAAATGCATGAAATAATTAAAGGAGTTATGTCCAGCACAGCAGAGTGTTGGTTCAAAATGACAATACCTAGCATGTGCGTTGCATGCCCTATGATGTGCCACAAAAGTGTTTGAGGGACCACGGCTGCTGCAGCAGAACACATGCTGATGGAGTCCATGACAATATTCTCTCTGGAACAGATCCTTGAGCGAACTATCTTGTCCACTCCTGTGGGTGCCCTCTGAAAGGAATCTGAGAATAAAGAAGAATTCATGCAGTGTCAGTTAGAAAAACTAAAGTACCAGCCACCTGGGGTGAACCAGGTCCTGACAGTCAAGATACACCTTTGGCACTTGCAAGGGACCTTTTGCAGCCAAAGTGCCAATTAAAGCAATCTTGCATATACTAGCATGTATCTTCATAGGAATCAGTTTTAGTCATGTTAAAATCAATGCGATTGAACCTACTCTATTTCAGAAACAACCCTTTTATCCTAACAATATGGGTTTTTTCCCCATAAGGAATCTATTGCAAGAGTAGAATTTTAGTTTTTATAAATATTATTTTCAGTAAAGAGAAGAATATTTTGACACAATTATATATTTTATATTTTTTTTTCTATGAAATAAGAACAAAATTTGATTTTTTTTTTTTTTTTTTTTTTTTTTTTTAAACTACACCATTCTTTAAATGGTAAAAATGCCAATGTTTTTAATGCTTCCTTAGAACAAATGTGAGAGACAGTCAGCATCAATAACCTGATATATGTAGCTCCCAGATCACCCTGTAAGTCTGTTATTGTATCACATACCTAGTCCCAGCTTAAAAATCAATATCAAAAGTAGCTGGCAAGGCAAGAATCTTCATTACAATTAAGTATATATCTTAAAGTAAATTGCATTTCAGCTGAAGAGTGTAGCCAGCTAATTCAAATTACAGCAATTCATCTTTGATCTGAGAAAAATGCCCTATACGATGTCTGCAGTTTCATAAAATTTCTCCCAAATCCATCAAAGAATTACAAAAGGTCATGAGAAGCACACACCAGTAATTCCAACAGCTGTTGGTGCTGCAGTTATAGGCTTGTTCTAATACACAGCAGATACAGGAAAAAGCTAACCAAAATTTGAATGTTAAGCACAGATATAATTATTGATAAGACACTCTATAGTCTTCCTTAAAGTAGACACACTGGAAATTGTAGGTCTCATGATACAGGTACGTAATTCAGAGGAATATTTAAGAAAAGAGAGGGTTTTTTCCAGAAAAAGATCTGCAATTAAAATCAAAAGCCTTATTTTAATCATCTATTCTGCCAATGCCAACCCCAAACACAAAACAGCAGGAAAGAATGTTGGCATCAGCTCTCGAGTCATATTTCCCTGGCAGGTAGCAAGTAGCATCACTTAAGTGGAACAAAACAGAGTCCAGCAGAGACTGATACCAGTAAATTCCTAGCTATGTCATGTCAGTATTATATTCATTATAATTACTTACTATATTAATTATTTATTTTCTTTTACATTTTAATTTTTAATTTGTGCTGCCTCATGTAAAGCAACCTAGAAATAATTTTAATTAAAGTTTACTTAGACTAAGAACAGACGGTTTCTACCTAAAATATTTTCACACTATTTTAAATTTAGACTTATAAAAAAATGTTTCTTTGAAACCTATATTTCTGTTCTACTTTAGAAAATCAGTAACAAAGGGGAAATGCATAGTCACCTTACTTTGTAAATATACTATTGCTTCTTATATTTCATAATACAGAAAAAGATGCTCCATTATCAAAATTAGGAAGGAAAAACCAATGCTTTCTTTCATACAAATCATACAGCAAATATGTTCATTAGAGCTGAACAAATGTTTCTTGCTAACAGCAGTCTGCCTAAGGCCATGCATGGTTCTGTGGTTTTAAAAAAAATAGCATTTGCAATTTAATTTTATGTTAAATTTTATAATCAACAGCTATCAGTCTCTGGAGTGATATATGTGGTTCAAAATGAGTTTTTTAATGACAATCTCCTCATCGACTTTTTAAGCTTTTCTTTTTAATAGCAGTGCCTAGTGGAGCTGTTATAGTTTGAATTATGTTAAAATAGGTTTCCATTATAAATTGCAGTATAGATTTACAAGAAATAGATCAAATCCAACTAATGATAATCTTTCTTTGGTAAAACAACCAATTGGT